AAATTTTGTTGGAGAGACAACATTGAATAAGATCTTTCCAGATGATCGTTTTCTGTTAACATTCCTCTTAATGACTGGCCTGAGACGTACCTAAACAACTTTCCCGATAATCCCGATGTGATGGCGTATACAAGTGATTATATATACCCATTTTAGTAATCATCCCATGTTTGACAAAGCGAGATCAGTATACGCAAACAATTTAAAAGCTCAAGATTATCATCGATTCCATCGAGAAAAAGGTTCTGAGATTAACCAACGATTACATGTGTCTAAAGCCATAAAACTTGTGGCTGAAAATTTTAAAAGCTCCTACATTGCCCTTGTGGCTTTATGTGACGGGAAATGGAAAGAAATGTTAACAGTTATATAATGCCAATTTACAAGTTCCTAAACGTTGTGGCATCTTTGTTGGAACGGATGGAAGGTAATTACTTTTTTATTGTTTCATCTTAAACTTTATATATTAATATTAATACGCTTAATAATACAGTGGCCTCTCGATAAAAAAAAATTAAAGTTCTTATTGCAACTGATCTTTTTTAAAGGAAGAATCACTCCCGACATTATTTTGCAAAACTGTCTTATGGGTAAGGCTAAAGGCTGCGAAGAATGTACACAGATACTGGTCACGTCAAAGGTTTATTGATGTACCATATCGATATTTGATATAATACTTTTACGAGACCAGATAAAGTATATAAAAAACAAGAATTATTTCAATGTGGCTGGAGACATCCATTTGTAAGTAATATTATAATCAGGAATTTTTCTAGTTTTAGTATTAAATTTTATATATACCGATACTAATACATTTTATTTTATAAGAATGGAGATTAGAGATGGGCTTCATGCGTGCGCATGATTCAGTTTCATGCGCATTTTATCCCATCATGATCTCTCTCCTCTCGAACGTTTTTTCTTTTTTTTGCCTTTTTTTTATCATGCGATATCATGCGCATGAAACATTTCGTGCGCATTAAGCGCATTTTTCCCATCACTAATGGAGATCCAAGCGTTATAGATAGTACATATTAATATTGATTCATGTTTAGAAGTTAATTAATACCACCGATTATTCCTTGTTGAGTTTGATGAGTTAAGTACATGATTATCCCTTGTCGAGTTCGATGGGTTAGGTACATCTTGATAAATTAACACTTGTTCCTTATTAGAAATTTGTAAAAATCATTATTATTATGGAAATTATTGTTACATGAAGAATATTAAGCGAATCAAATTTTATGCATTTTATACGTAGAATATAACAAAATTATTTTACTAATACCTAATTAATGAAAAATAGATTATTTAATAAAATTATAATTTACAAGACAGAAATTTGATTTTTGTTAATGTTAAACTGATTTTTTATTATATTTTTATTAAACAATAAATAAATAAATTCTTATAAAGTTTTCATAAGGACATGATATGTTACTTCTATATACTCAAATATGATTTTGTAGTATACTTTACTAAATCATGCACTACTACTATTTACAAATAATATATAAACAAACTGATGGTCAGTGATGGATTTTAGCTGAAAATTTATGAAGTATTTGATCATTATTGTTAACTTGAACCCATCCAATGCCCATTGAGCTTTGTTCAGTTCCAATATCAGTTACTGATCCAT